AAACAAACGTCGATACATTTTTGATTCTGACATGCTTGATTGCTCAAACAATCTGAATTAATTATGCATTCAGCTCGGCACGTTGGTGGAGAGCCAACATAATTTGGAAGACAAGAACATACTGCATGACCATTTACTTCTTTGCACTGTGAGTATGGTCCGCAAGGAGACGGTCTACAGCCATGATATTCTTCGATTGGAGTTTGTTGAACGATTGGGTGAACGCATTGAATGAATGGATTTCCTTCCATTCCAGTTGGGCAGACGCACATTGGAAGGTGATTGTAAACATTACAATTTGCGTTCGGTGCACAACATGTACTTTCACAAGGATTTACACATTTATGTTGAATGCAGGCTTTGTCTCTCTCACAATCACTGTTAAGAACACATTCTGGAGAACAAAAAGTGTATGGATCGCCTTTCAAACCAGGAGGGCACGTACACACTCCATTATTACATTGTGCGTTTTGGGCACAAGGTGATGGATGGCAGTTATCTTGTGTATCTTGATCTTTTAGAGCAAATAGAAACCGATATTATTCGTTGACAATAAGTTAATTTTTTTCTTTAGATGAATTTTACCGAAAAACATCAACTTCTTGTTTGAGAAAAGCTCATTTTTTTGTTATATCATTGATAGCTGAAGAAAATAAGAGCAATGAAAAATAATAATTTCTAAAGAACTAGAATGTAAAGAAAGTTTGCTGATGTTTTTCAATTCGGGATTGTATGAAATTGTAAAAAGAAATTACATTTCGGTGGGATTGGTTCGCAATTATCAAAGGCATTTCCGGTATATCCTTCAAAACAGGTGCAAACGGCAAAATGGTTAATTACATTGCATTGAGCGTAAACGGCACACAAGCCGGGACAGGGATTAACACAATGGTTTCGAATGCAAGCTTTGTTAGTCGCACAGTCACTCGACAATACACATTCATGATGGCAATTTGGAGGCGAACCGTAAAAGCCTGGCAAACAAGAGCATTGCGGATAATTTCCAAATGCTTGACATTGTGAGTATAGACCACAAGGGTTCGGATAACATGGATCATCGTATTCAATTAAAGGTGGATTTTGTGAAGCTGAAAGGTATTTTTGTTTTTGTTTTATTATGAATATGACTTATATAATTTTTTTGTATCTGACATACTTAATGGAATTGGACTGCAAACGATCAGTGGATTGCCTGTGTAATCGTTTCTGCACGTGCATATCGGACTGTGATTGTTAACACGACAATCAGCATTCGTTCCGCAAACATTTATTGCACATGGATTTACACATTTCTGATTAACACACGCTTTATCACGACTACATTCAGGCGATGAAATACATTCGGGCCTACACGCTGGTGCGCTACCAATGAAACCGGGTAAGCAGGTACAAATCGAAATGCCATTATTAACGCGACATTGACTATTTGCACCACATGGATTACAACTGTTGCTGCATGGATTTTGTTGACATTCGTCAACAACTGTAACCGCTGTTTAAAAATTAGGGAAAATTTGGACGATTTCTCAAATTGGTCTTTGAAATATTTGCGTTAAGTGCTTTGGTTATACGAGTTTTCGTGAAAAGTTTTAATAGAAGAAAGAATGTATGTATAGGGGGATGATGAAGATAGAGACTTACGATCGTGTTCAATAAAGTGACAACTACTGTAAGGATTGCCTGTGTAACCAATTCGACAACTACAAGATGCCAAATGGTTGACAACTCTGCAATCTGCATTGCTTCCACAGGCACCGGGGCATGGATCTTGACATTTATTCCGAACACATGCTCTATTCGTTGTACAATCACTGGACCATAAACATTGCGGACGACAATATTCATATGGATTGCCAAAGTGTTCGGGTATACATTGGCATGAACCCACGCCATTTTCTTCGCGACAAACGGCATTTGTACCGCATGGACTTGGAATGCAGGGAGTCAAATGTTCAACAGGAATTGGAGCTAGAATTTTAGGACAATAATAGAATATTCATTTCGATCAAGAGATTGTTAGTTTCAGTTGATTAACTGGGTGCGAGTCAGTTTGGAGTGTTTGGTGTTGTTTAGATTGGTCGTTAAAATCGAGAGAAGAAGACGCTTTGAAACCCAACGTTGTTATTCATTATTAAGTGTAGTAAAATTATCACAGTTTAAAAGTATATGTAGTATTTCAGTCGACGTTAGTTTTATAGACAGATTGTGTAGAATTGTGCTTCGATAACGAATAATATTCGCATCGACTGAGAGTTTTTTTTTTAAATATTGTGAATTAATTTGAGATTCACTTAAAACTAATATCTATTCATTCTGAATAGTTAGATTATTTTCTTCGTTTAAAATTCACAAGCAAGCTTAAAATTATAATTTTAATTTGAAATAGTGTAATTATTTGTGCATAGAAACTTCTCACGTAAGAAGTGTTTGCAAGTTGTTGTTTTTTAATAAAAGGCATTTCAGCGATGTTACGCACAAGTGAAGAAACAAAATTGTACTTACCTCGATCCAGCGAACAGCCTTGGAATGGATCTCCACTGTATTGTGTGTCACACGTGCACACTGGTCGATGATTGATCACTTCGCATCTTGCATTGATTCCTGAATTAAGACATGATAATTTTTTAAATGTTCATCGTTCTTCGATTTTATTTCAATCAAAAACTTACCACAACTTCCTGGGCAAGGGTCTACACATTTCTGATTCATACAAGCACGATTGGCAGGACATTCACTATTTATTGAGCACTCTACGCGGCATGTTGGCGGAGAGCCAAGGTAGCCAGGTAGACATGAACACGCTGGACTCTCATTGATCACTTTACATTCGGAGTGAGGACCACAAGGGTTCGGGATACAAAGATTCTCATTTGGTTGTACTGGTGGTGGAAGTGGTTTAAAGCATCGAGTAAATGCATCGCCTGTATAGCCTGGAGCACAGCTACAAATTGGCCTGTGTGATATGACTTGACATTCTGCAATACACAATAGTTGCACAATTTGTTAGTAAACAAAAGAACGAAGATAATTGTGAAGATAAGAATGAAGTTTTTGGCTAAGCAGTACTCTGAATTGAAGAGAAAGAAGAACGACTTACGAGAAAATTGACCGCAAGTTCCGATGCAAGGGTTGACGCATTTTTGATTTACACAAGTCTCTTGCAAACCGCATTCGGCGGAAATAACACATTCAGGTCTACAATTTGGTGGTGAACTGATCATATTTGGTTGACAAGTACATACAGCCGCTCCATTTGAAACACGACAAATGGAATTCAATCCACCTGTTTGATTATATGAAAATATTTGAATTTATCGAACGGTCGAATAATTGAATACTATTTTGTTACTCACATGGATTCGGATTACATGGTTCTACCACAGGATCACGAGCCTCATATCGACACGAAACAAATGGATCGCCTGAATATCCGTCTGGGCAAGCGCAGCTTGGAATATGATTTGAAACATCGCAAATGGCTTGTGTACCTTTTATTAAATTGTCAAAATGAATTCAAATTGTTTGAATGTTGTATTTGGTGTTTTACATGTAATTTAGAAAATGATTATTTTTTTTTTTTTATTGACAACGAATTATAAGTGCATGAATATCAAGTAAATTTTGTCTTTTAAATCACTGACTAATTTATTTCAGTTTGGAATTGACACGATCCGCAGATGGTTTGAATTCTTTCAAGCTGCGCTGATGAGCCGTAAACGGCGAAATCGGTCACCTCTATTCACTTGTGGCAATTGTTAAATTTTTGTTTTTTCTAATTGTTTTCTACAAATCATGAAGATGATAGCATTGCTTTCGCAGTGTGCATCTGACCAGTAAAGGTATCGAAGTGTTAATAAAAGTTTTCAATTTCACCTATATGGATCGGTATAATGTGCCGGAAAAATAAATTTGTGAAAATAAGGGGGGCCCAATCGAAATAGGGGAGGAAGGGGAGTACCCCACCATGTCAAAATTTGGTCGGATCGAAAAATATTGTACTACAAAGTTGTTCAGAATAACGAGAGAAATTTTCTAGGACCCCTGCCCTCCAAGTCCCCCCACCCCCCAGGGGGGTTGGGGGTCATAACTCCTTCACCCATGACTTTTTTCAACCGAAACCTCGAAATTCGGAATCAGCATCCCAAATTACCCTAGAAATGATATTCGTCTCGAGCCCATTCACCCCAAGTCTCCCAATAGTTCAGAGCCCCCCCATTAGGGTAAAATGATACAAAGTCGACTTTTCACTTTTTGGGTGTGGAATTTTGCACTCAAATGTATGACCAACTATAGCTTATTTCATTCGCACATTTCATTTAGGCCATTGCCCATCCCCTCCCATCACCCCCAA